CATGCTGTCTCAAAGGATAAGAGATTCTTCTTTTTTATTGCTGCAAAGTATTCCAAGGTATAAATGTACCACAGCTTTCTTATCCATTCATCTACTGATGGGCACTTGGGCTGTTTCCAGATCTTAGCTATTGTAAATTGTGCTACTATGAATATAGGGGTGCATACATTGTTTCTGATTGGTGTTTCAGGTTTTCTTGGGATATATCTCTAGAAGTGGGATCACTGGATCAAATGGCATATCTATATTTAATTTTTTGAGGACTCCATACTGTTTTCCATAATGGCTGCACCAATCTGCATTCCCACCAGCAGTGTACTAGGGTTCCCTTTTCTCCACATTCTCACCATCACTTGTCATTTGTTGATTTGTTGATGCTTGCCATTCTAGCATGTATCAGATGGTACCTCCTTGCCGTGTTGATTTGCATTTCTCAGATGATTAATGACTTTGAGCATTTTTTCATATGTCTCTTGGTCATCTGTTTGTCCTCTTTGGAGAAGTGTCTATTTAGGTCCTTTGCCCATTTTTAAATTGGATTGTTTGTCTTTCTTCTGTTAAGCTGTATGACTTCCTTATATATTTTGGATATTAACTCTTTACCAGATGTATAAAGTTGCAAATGATAAAAGTTTCTTTGGCTAAATATGTTCTCCCATACAGTGGGCTCACTTTTTGTTTTATTGATGCTTTCTTTTGCTGTGCAGAAGCTTTTTATTTTAATGTAATCCCATTTGTTTATTTTCTCCTTGTTTCCTTTTCCTAGGAGATGATCTAAAAACATTTTGCTAGGAGAGATGTCTGAGATTTTGCTACCTATGGTTTCTTCTAGGATTTTTATGGTTTCATGACTTACATTTAAGTATTTTACCTATTTTGAGTTTATTCTTGTGTACGATGTAGGTTGGTGGTGTAATTTCATTGTCTTGTTTGTGTCTGTTCAATTTCCCCACCACCATTTATTGAAGAGATTCTCTTGATTGCATTGTATGCTCTTGCCTCCTTTGTCAAATATTGAGTATAATGGCTTGGTTTGATTTCTGGGTTCTCTGTTCTGTCCTATTGATTTATATGCCCATTCTTGTGTCAATACCAGGCTGTTTTTGTTCTGAGGTGGGACTCTTGTAGACAGCATATAGTTGGATCATGTTTTTGTATCCATTCAGCTTCCCTATTGCTTTTGTTTGGAACATTTAATCCATTTACATTTAGGGTTATTATGGCTAGGTAGTTATTTATTGCCATTTTCATTCTGTATGCCTAGTTTTCTCTATTTCTTCTTCCCATTACAGCATCTCTTTAGCATTTCTTTGCTTCTGTTATATTCACCAGTTTATTCTGTTCATCAGATTTTTTTTACCTTAATTTTTAGATTCACTTGTTGATAGATATGTATTTGTTGTCACTTTGTTGTTCATAATTTTTATCTTTACCCTTTTCTTCTTCTTCCTCTTCTTAAAGAGTAACCTTCAGCATTTCACATAATCCTGGTTTGGTGGTGATGAACTCCTTTAGCTTTTTCTTGCCTGTGAAGCTCTTTATCTGACCATCAATTCTACATGATAGCTTTGCTGAGTAGAATAATCTTGGTTGTAGGTTCTTGGTATTCATCACTTTGAATATGTTTTGCCACTCCCTTCTGGCCTGCATGGTTTCTGTTGAGAAATCAGCTGACAGTCATATGGGTACTCCCTTGTAGGTAACTGTTTTTCTCTTGCTGCTTTTAAGACTCTCTCTTTGTCTTTTGCCCTTGGAATTTTAATTATGATGTGTCTTGGTGTGGTCCTCTTTGGATTCCTCTTATTTGGGGTTCTCTTTGCTTCTTGGACTTGTAAGTCTATTTCTTTCATCAGGTTGGGGAAGTTTTCTGTCATTATTTCTTCTAATAGGCTTTCAATATCTTTCTCTCTCTCTTCTTCTGGCACCCTTATAATTCGGATGTTGGTATGCTTGAAGTTGTCCCAGAGGCTCCTACACTATCTTCATACTTTTGGATTTGTTTTGCTCTTTGCTTTTCAGGATGGGTGTTTTTTGCTTCCTCGTATTTCAAATCTCTGACTTGATTCTTGCGATCCTCTAGTCTGCTGTTGGAACTCTGCATAATATAATTATTTCAGTCAGTGTATGCTTAATTTCTAGTTGGTCCTTTTTCATAAACTCGAGGGTCTCACTACATTTATCGGCGGTCTTACCAGACTTTTTGAGGGTCTTACTAAATTTATCGGCGGTTTCTAGAAAGTTCTTGAAAAACCTTAAAAGTGTGGTTTTGAACTCTATATCCATCGTTTGCTTTCCTCCATTTCTGTCATTTGTGACCTGTTTCTTTGTCTCTGCATTTTTTATGCTTCCCTGTGTTGGTAGAGTGGCTTTGTGTGCTAGGTGTCCTATAGGGCCCAGTGGCTCAGCATCCCCAATTACCTGAGGTGAACACTCTTGGTGCACCCCTTTGTGGGCTTTGTGTACAGTCTTGTTTTAGTTAAGCCTTGATTGTTATAGGTATCACTGGGAGGAATTGACCTCTAGGCCAATTGGCTGTGAGAGTCAGCTGTGTTTACGGTCGGAGAACTTCTGTGCTGAAGACACCCTTCTGGGGCAAGACTTGCTTCAGTGGGGCTTTGGTGCTCACTGAGTCTGCCCCCTGAGTGTGTCCCTTATGGATCTGAGGAGTTGTAATTGGATGGTCCCACTCTGACCACTGGGTACACTGGCTCTTGGATCTAAGGAGGTGCTAATTTAGCCTCTGCCTGAGGCTACCCAGCAGTAGCTGTGAAGAGATCTGCAGATTCCCCTTCCTTGTTTGGGGTTTGGAGGTGCCCAAATGAGGCCCAGGTGTGAAGCAATGCAAGCTGCTGTGGGGCCTTGGGACTTCTCTTGGAAGTTCTGGGTCTGTCTGGCCCAGCTGCAATTTGTTAGGTAATTTTCAGGTTGTAAAGGGCCAGGGCATTCATATGCAAAAGCCTCTGCTGCAGCTTTGGTGGGGCAGGGTCTCAGGGAATCAACAGAGCGAAGCAAGCAGCTATGGCTGATCCTCAGCCCTGCCCTAAGGGGTCCTGCATCTCAGTGTCCCGTGGTAATCACTGCAAGCACCTTTGAGAGAAAGCCGCCTTCGAGTTCCGAGTTCTGCCCGCTGTCAGACACTCCAGTTTCTCCCTGTATGAGTCAGGGTCCCCAGAGACTCACCCGGAACTGGAGTTCAGAGCAGTCGGGGGCTTGTGACTCCCTCCTGATTCAAAAAGACAGCCGCGTCCTCAGTTTCCAGCTCTTGCTGCATGCGCCTCCGCACCTCTGCACTTCCGCAGCTCCTCTGAGTCTCAGTGTGCTTCTCTCTTTCCTTCTAGTTGTAGAATTTCCACTCAGCCAGCCTTCCTGTGGTTCTGGATGATGACCATTTTGTCTTTTAGTTGTATTTTTGAATTTGTTGTGGGAGGCAGCAATTTCCGGTGTTTATCTATGCCGCCATCTTGGTTTCTCTCCCAAGTGTTTCTTTGTCAGCGCCAAGTCCATGGTGCCATTCTTTGTAAATAGCCAGTGCACGTCACAGCACCACCTGCATCAAGCGTCTGCCCCCAGGTGGTCAGTGTGTGTCATAGCAGTGATTTGAGGTACACTTAGCATATTACCTTTCCATACTAATAAAAGAAAAACATGCAAATTGGTGTCACTTCTACACCCACCAGCCAGTCATAGCGACTATGCAAATTAACCCAACAGAAATGGTGGTTAATTTGCATACCCAGGCGCAGAGCGAAGACTGAAGGCTCCAGCCGGAGCAAAGACTGAAGAGGCTTGGCCTCAGAGGAGAAGCCAAGCCTTGCTGCGGCTGGACTAAAGGCCTGGGTCCCAGGTGCCAGAGAAAAACCAGTGCCAGCAGCCAGGGGAAGAAAGGCCCATTGTGTGAATCTTTGTACAACGGGCTTCTAGTTTATATATATAGAAAGATTTTATTTGTCTATATGTCCTAAAAATCATGAGTTGAGGACTTTTGTAGAGGGCTAAGTTGTTGTGTCTTGCTCATGTCTGAACTCTAACTCTAACATCCTATTTCCATGAAATGAGAGAGGCAAAAGAAGGTCAAACTAACAAATATTACTACAACAAATGATCATTCGTAATCTTCAAGAATATTTTCACTCAGGTGTATTTGACTACTTCTACTACAGGGTTAGGGTTACGTCGGACTTGAAGTATGTAGTTTCATGGTTACATGGCCATCTCCCATTGATTTATAAAAAAGAAGTTCTGTCATTTCGATGTATGTACATGTGCTTTCTGTTTTTATTATTTACTGTATTTACCTGAAGTAAAGGTCAGGAATTGTTATCTTTCTTTTAAATTTTTTTCCTGTTTCACTTCCTTACTGCTGTGTATGTGCTCCATGTGAGTGATGTAGGTGCTTATGCAGGTGGGTTCCGACTTACGGCAAAAATTGTATTATGTCATGCGTCATGCCATAGGAACAGATCTCCGATGTAACCGAGGACCTACTGTCACTCTGGAGTACTTCAGGACAATATGGCCAAGTACATTTTGTTCCAAGTTGAATTTCCCCACACACCTCCTGGCCTCTCCTGATTGGTGATAAGAATAGAAGAGAAAGCTACCAGGTCTTTATTGTATTCATAGTCATTAAAATAAAGTCTTTTTAAAAAATATATATTTCATTGATTTTTTTTACAGAGAGGAAGGGAGAGGGATAGAGAGTTAGAAACATCAATGAGAGAGAAACATTGATCAGCTGCCTCCTGCACACCCCCCCACTAGGGATGTACCCGCAACCAAAGGTCATGCCCTTGACTAGAATCAAACCAGGGACCCTTCAGTCAGCAGGCTGATGCTCTATCCACTGAGCCAAACCAGTTAGGGCCAAATAAATAGTCTTGATAGTCTTACAATCAAGTCTTAGACTGAATGTTGAGGACCATGTGTCCTCTGCAAACTTCTTATGAAGTATGTATGGCTCCGCAGTGCTGTCTCACCCATACATATGTGGGATGTTTTAGGACTCAGTGGCCTTTGAGGATGTTAATGTGAAGTTCACCAAGGAGGAGTGGGCTTTCCTGGATCCGACCCAGAAGAAACTCTACACAGATGTGTTGCTAGAAACCTTCTGGAACCTGGCATCAGTAGGTAGTTATCACAAATTTTTTATTTTCTTGTAATATATTTTTGTTGATTTCAGAGAGGAAGGGAGAGGGAGAGAGAGAGAAAAAATCAGTAATGAGAGAGAATCACTGATTTTCTACCTATTGCATGCCTCACACTGGGGATGTAGCCTGCAAACCAGGCTTACTGGGAATATGATCCTTGACCTCCTGATTCATAGGTTGACTACATAGCGACTCTGGCCACAACAATTTGTTACTTATTTAGTCACTTGGAAAACTAGTGTTGCTTGCTCATCAATGCTGTTTCAGGAACTGAAATGTGGAAAGGGGAATACATTGGTAATTAAACTAGGAATGATCATAGCTCATTGTGTACCTAAAATCTAATGATTTTAATGTCCTTTAATAGTTTATAATACTTTTTCTAGTGTGTATTTTAGAAGAAAAATGGGAAGACCATGATGGTGAAGATCAGTATGAAAATCATGGGATGAATCTTAGGTGAGATGCATTGACGTGAGAAAGCATTATCCTGCAAGAGCATCTTTTTTTGTTGTTGTTGTTAATATGTTTTTATATATATTTATTTCATTTACTTATTTAATATTTATTTATTTATTTCAGATATTTAGGGAGAAAGAGAAAGAGAGACAAACATCAATGATGAGAGAGAGTTATTGATCAGCTGCCTCCTGCACACCACACATTCAGAATCAAGCCCACAACCTGGGCATGTGCCCAGACCAGGAATCGAGCTGTGACCTCCTAGTTCAGAGGCTGGCACTGAACCATGAGCCATGCCGGTGGTGTGAAAGTATGTTTTTATTGATTTTGGATTGTGAAGGGGAGAGGAAGACATAGAAACATTGATTGGCTGCCTCCTTCATTCCCTGTACAGGGGTTAATAAGTCTGCAACCTGGCCATATTCCCTTTCAGAGAGTTTAACTGACAACCCCCTGGTTAGTGGGTCCATGCTGAGTCACTGAACCACATAGGCCCAGTCCATAAAACAACCTGAAAAAAAAGGTAATCCAATTGTATCAGCCTAGTTTTAAATGTTTTTGTTATTAGAATAATCTCATCAAAAACAATATACAGAAATACCGTTAAAGAATACAGGCAGTCTTTGTGTTAAGTCAGACTCGAAGTATGTCGTTTCGTGGATATGTTGCCATCTCCCATTTATTTATAAAAAAGTTCTGTCATTTCGATGTATGTACATATGTGCTTTGTGTTTTTTATTATTTACTAGAGGCCCGGTGCACGACATTTGTGCATGGAGGTGGGCGGGTACCCTCAGTCCAGCCTGCACCCTCTCCAATCCATGACTCCTCGGAGGATATCAGACTGCTGGTTTAGGCCCAATCCCGGAGATCGGGCCTAAACCAGCAGTCGGACATCCCTCTCACAATCCTGGACCACTGGCTCCTAATAGCTCACCTGCTTGCCTGGTCGCCCCTAACTACCAACCCCCCCAGCCTGATCACCCCTCACTGCCTCTGCATGCCAGCCTGATCACTGCTAACTGCCCCCCTGCCAGCCTGGTACCCCCAATTGTCCCCCCACACCTGCCTTGGTCACCCCTAACTGCTCCCCTTTCCCCACTGGCCTGGTCACCTATTACTGCCCCCCTGCCGGCCTGGTTGCCCCTAACTGCCCCCCCAGATGGCCTGGTCACCCTTAACTGCCCCCCCTGCTGGCCTGGTGGCCCCCAAATGCCCCCAGATCTCCGATGTAACCTGAGGACCTACTGTATAAGTTTTTTCATAATATTTATGATCCAGCCTATTTCAGAGGTTTTAGGATAACCACGTTCAAAAATCAGAATGTACAGAAACACTCCACTTTCCTTGAAAATGGTAAAAATGTCATTATCATACTATTAATAAATATTAAATTGTTAACAGAGTATTAATAATATGCTTCTGATTTTTACAGTAGTCATGTGGTAGAGAGACTCTGTACAAGGAAGGATGGTGGTCAATGCAAACTTCAGCCACACTCCAAATCATAATGAAAAGAAGGAAACTCCTACTGAAATAAAACAACCTAAAGCCACATTGTGTAGGCAAATCTTCATGGATTATTTATCCTTGAATAACCACCTGAGCTCTCACATTGGACCCAAACTATACCTGTGTCAGGAATATGAAAAAAACCCTTATAAATGCATGGAACCTGAGAAAGCTTTCAGGCATCACCAACATATTCAAAGACATGAAGGCAGCCCCAGTGGGAAAGCTTTCCACTATTCAACTTCCCTTAGAAATCATGAAGGAACGGATATCGCTGGGAAACCGTATGAGTGTAAGCAATGTGGGAAAGGCTTTAGTAGTCTTATTTACTTTAAACTTCACAAAAACACTCATAGTGGAGAGAAACCACATCAAAGTAAGCAATGTGGCAAAGCTTTCAGTTCTCCCAAGTACTCTGGAGAAAATGAAAGAACACACACTGCAGAAAAGCCCTATCAATGTAAGAAATCTGGCAAAGCTTTCAGTTCCATTTCTCTTAGAAATCCTGAAAGAACTCATACTGGTGAGAAATCTTATGAATGTAAGCAATGTGGGAAAGCCTTCCGTTCTCTCAGTTTTCTTGTAAGTCATAAAAGAAGTCATGCCGCAAAGAAGCCTCATGAATGTAAGGAATGTGGTAAAACATTTCCTTATCCTTCTTTACTTAGAAGTCATGAAATAATTCATACCCGGGAAAAGCCCTATGAATGTAAGCTTTGTAGTAAAGTTTTCTCTCTTTCAAGTTCCCTTCGAAAACATAAAAGAATTCATACTGGTGAAAAATCTTACGAATGTCAGCAATGTGGTAAGCATTTTAGTTTTTACACATCTCTTAGAAATCATAAAATAATGCATGCTGGGGAGAAACCATATGACTGTAAGACTGTGGGAAAGCTTTCAGGTATTCCAGTTCCCTTCGATATCATGAAAGAATGCATACTGGGGAGAAGCCCTATGAATGTAAGCAATGTGGGAAAACCTTCCGTTGTCTCAAACATCTTCGAATACATACAAGAAGTCATGATGGAAAAAAGCCTCATGAATGCAAGCAATGTGGTAAAACTTTCTGTGATGCATATTCCCTCTGACGTCATGAGAGTATTCATACTGGGGAAAAACCTTATGAATGTAATCATTGTGGTAAAGCTTTCTCTGATCTAACTTACCTCCGATGTCATGAAAGAACTCATGAGGAAAAACTTCATGAATGTAAGCAATGTGGGAAAACCTTCAGTTATCAATGCTATCTTGCAAGACATAAAATAACTCATGTTGCAAGGAAGCCTCATGAGTATAAGGAATGTGGTAAAACTTTCTGTGACCCATATTCCCTCCGATGTCATGAGAGTAGGCATACTGGGAAAAAACCTTATGAATGTAACCATTGTGGTAAAGATTTCTCTGATCCAACTTACCTCCGACGTCATGAAAGAACTCATGAGGAAAAATTCCATGAATGTAAGCAATGTGGGAAAATCTTCAGTTCTCGAGGCTCTCTTGCAAAACATAAAAGAAGTCATGATGGAAAGGAGCCTCATGAATGTAAGGAATGTGGTAAAACATTCCTTTTTTAATATTATCTCTGACGTCATGAAGTAACTCATACTGGAGAAAAACCCTATGAATGTAAGCAATGTGCGAAAGCCTTCAGTTGTCTGAGCTCTGTTGCAAAGCATAAAAGAAGTCATCACGGAAAAAAGCCTCATGAATGTAAAGAATGTGGTAAAACTTTCCGTGATCGATCATACCTCCGACTTCATGAAAGTATTCATACTGGGGGAAAACCTTATGAATGTAACCATTGTGGTAAAGCTTTTGTTCAGCCAGCTTCCCTCCGATGTCAAGAAAGAACTCATACTAAGGAAAAACCCTATGAATGTAAGCTATGTGGCAAAGCCTTCAGTTATCGCACCTCTCTTCGAAGACATAAAAGAAGTCATGATGGAAAGAAGCCTCATGAATGTAAAGAATGTGGTAAAGCATTCCATGATCGATGTGCCCTCCGCGTTCATGAAAGTATTCATATGGGGGAAAAACCTTATGAATGTACCCATTGTGGTAAAGTTTTCTCTCATCCAACTCTCCTGCGAAATCATGAAAGAACTCATAGTAAGGAAAAACCCTATGAATGATAGCAATGTGGGAAAGCGTTTATTCATCCCAGTTCTCTTCAAATTCACCTAAATACTCATAGTGGAGAGAAAGCATAATGAATGAAAGAACGCAAACTAAAACTAAGTTCTATCTTGTAAAGATTTTAGAAAAGCCTTTGACCATCCTCATCCTTTTTTTTTTTTTTTTTTTATCTTGTGGATATTTTTCCATTAAGAGTGGAAATCACGCCATAACCCGTTTGGCTCAGTGGATAGAGCATCGGCCTGCGGACTGAAAGGTCCCAGGTTCGATTCCGGTCAAGGGCATGTACCTTGGTTGTGGGCATATCCCCAGTAGGGGGTGTGCAGGAGGCAGCTGATTGATGTTTCTAACTCTCTATCCCTCTCCCTTCCTCTCTGTAAAAAATCAATAAAATATATTTTAAAAAAATAAAATAAAAAAAGAGTGGAAATCAGAGAAAGACAGAGAGTGATATTGATGTGAGGGAAACACATCAATTGGTTGCCTCCTGCATGTGCCCAGACATGAAAACACACACAGTGGAGAAAAGCTCTATGAATGTAAGGAATTTGGTAAAACTTGTAGTTTCTCCAAGTCTCTTAGTAAGCACGGATGAACACACTAGGGGAAAACTATAAATGTAAGCAATGTGGGAAAACCTTCAGTAGCATTACACATCTTTTTGGAAGACAAAAGAAGTCATGAGAGAAAGAATCCTCATGGATAAGGAATAAAGTAAATCTCTTTTCCATGCCTTTTCTTTTATATCAGTGGTTCTCAACCTGTGGGTCATGACTCCTTTGGTGGTTGAACGACCCTTTCATAGGGGTCGACTAAGACCATCAGAAAACACATATATAATTACATACTGTTTACAGTAGCAAAATTACAGTTAAGAAGTAGCTACAAAAATAATTTTATGGTTGGGGGTCACCACAACATGAGGAACTGTATTAAAGGGTCGCGGCATTAGGAAGGTTGAGAACCACTGTCTTAGATACATGAAATGTATACTGGGAAGCAACCCTATGAATGCAAGCAATGTGGGATAACCTATAGTCACCCCAGATCCTTTCATATTCACAAAAATTCTCTTGGTGGAGAGAAGCAATGTCAATGTAAGGAATGTGGTAAAGCCTTCTGGTTCCCTACTAGTTTTTACAGACATGTGAGGGAAAAAAAAGTATTGATAAACACTGTTAATGTAAGGAATAGCAAAGAGCCTTCATTTATCTCTCAGCTCTGCCATCATGTATGATTATTCATATTGGGGATGGACTCTAGAAATGTTAGAGGGTTAGAAAGCATTCATTTCTTCCAGTTTATTGTAAAGGATGAAAGAACCCACTGAAGAGAAGCCCTGTCATGTAAAGATTGTAGAAGAGCCTTTGGCCATCCTAGTTCTTTTAAAAATCATGAAGGGACTCACACCCAAGATTAAGTATATGAACATAAGGAATGTGGGAGAGCGTTTCTTGGACATGTAAGAATACACCTGGAGAAATAGTGTATACATTTAGAGAAGGTGGGAAAGCCTTTAGCTGTCCGTTTTCCTCAGAAAGGTAATATAAAAACTTGAAGTGAAGAATTCTATTGAATGTAAAAATGTAGGAAAACCTTCATGTTGCCTCATATCCCTACAATACCATTTGAGAATGTACACTGTATAATTGACAACTAAAAAAAACTTAAAAATTTTAACAAATACTTTTAGAGTAGCTTGAAAACGGCACTGGAAGGAAATCCTATTAGTGTAACTAGCTGGTACATGTAAGCCTGTTGCAAGTTAAGTCATATATACCCCCCAAAACACACAGCATTAAAGAAGTCCTATAAACTTTTGACCTATTTGGTCATTCTCAGTATTGATTCTTTTTTTTTTTCTTTAAATTGATGCTTTAGAGTGAGGAAGACAGAGAAGTAGAGGGAAACATCAATGTGAGAGAGAAACATTGATGGGTTGTCTTCCCTGTGCCCTGACAGGTATTGAATGAATGGGCTCTACACAACTGTATATTCTTTTTAAATTTTTTTTTTGTAAAAATATATTTTATTGATTTTTTACAGAGAGAAAGGGAGAGGGATAGAGAGTTAGAAACATCGATGAGAGAGAAGCATCTATCAGCTGCCTCCTGCACACTCCCCACTGGGTATGTGCCCGCAACCAAGGTACATGCCCTTGACTGGAATCGAACCTGGGACCTTTGAGTCCACAGGCTGACGCTCTATCCGCTGAGCCAAACCGGTTAGGGCTCTTTTTTAATTTTTAATTGCACTTGATATTCACTATTATTTTAGTCAATAAGTATTTACCATATTTTTGTACATATTTACTGTTCATTATAGATTCTGCATGTGTATTATTTTCATTTGTGTGTGTTGCTTTTGGCTGGGAATTGTATATGGAATTCACATTAAGAGGAGAATAGCCGTAACTGGTTTGGCTCAGTGGATAGTGCGTCGGCCTGCGGACTGAAGGGTCCCAGGTTCGATTCCGGTCAAGGGCTTGTACTTTGGTTGCGGGCATATCCACAGTGGGGGGTGTGCAGGAGGCAGCTGATCGATGTTTCTCATTGATGTTTCTAACTCTCTATCCTTCTCCCTTCCTCTCTGTATAAAAATGAATAAAATATATATTTTTTAAAAAGAGAGGATATTTTTTAGTTTGTTTTTCTCAATCCTTGCCCTGCCAGCCAATAATATCCTCAAAACAGCCAGCCACTGCTTTACTTCCATTGATGTCGGGTGGAAGCTTTACAGATGTTCACAATTCAACATTAAAAATCCACATCAGTTGGCTTTTCCTGCAAGCCCTTAGGTGTCCACCAGGCAATAAACATAGACTGTCATGGTTGAGGCTGTTTTCTGAAAGGTATGCACTGTTCTCTAGATTGCATTTGCATGAGGTCTAATTTGTCTAGTAATCATCTTGTCCTGTTGGTTCTACTACTGACTGTGATTCAGATGCCACTGTGACAGCTGCAATGGTGCAGTGCCACGGAGCCCCGTGACAGTTTGTTCTTGTACCACCTTCTGCAGTGAGGGCTCTGAGCCAGTCCTTCCATGTGAGAATCGGCACTTTCCTCATTGCAGGCAGACTCTGATGTGTGCTGTCACTCAGAGATGGGCCTAATCTCTCAGTGTTTTCATTTATCTTTGGTGTTTGTGATTAAAATTATGTCCATGTTTTTTTCTAATAAATGCGTCTGTAATTTTAAAATTTTTTATTGATTTCAGGGAGCAAGGGAGGGAGAGAGAAAGAGAGAGAAACATCAATGATGAGAATCATTCATGAGATGCCTCCTGAACGCCCCTTGCTGGGGATCGAGCCTGGAACCTGGGCATGTGCCCTTGACAGGAATCAACCCAGGATCCTTCAGTTCACGGCTTACACTCTATCCACTGAGCAAAACCATCTAGGGCCGTGCCTCTGTAATTTTTAATGAAATATTAACTGTTTCCCAACCATTCTTATGCTAAGACATGTTATGGTGTTTTGTTACTTCCTGAGGATATAACAATAACAACAGCCTTAAAAGGATTTCTTGTTATATTTGGCCTTGTAATAGACAATATGATTTCTATTCAAGGTATAAGGTTATATTTTTAAACTGAGATTTACTTGTTTATTAGCTTTGCCTATAATGCTGTAAATTTTTCTATTAGAACTGTTATGGCTGTGTCCCCTAGATATGGGGTCATAGTCTTCTCATTTTCATTTGCCTTAAAGTACCTTTTGATTTTTTCCTTGATACCTTTGTTAACCCTTCATTGTTTAGCCTTCATGTGTTTGTGGTTTTCGGGGTTTTTTTCTTGTAATTGATTTCTACTCTTATCCCATTGTCATTTTGAACATTCTTGATATGATTTCAAATTTTGTAAATTTATGGAGACTTATTTTGTGGCCCGAGAGGTGGTGTGTCCTGGAAAATGTTCCATATGCACGTGAAAAGAATGTATATTCTGTAGTTTGGGGTGAAATGTTCTCTGTAAATCAGTTAAAACTATCGGATCTAATGTGTCGTTAGAGACCTCTGTTTCCCTGTTGATTTTCTGTCTGGGTGATTTATCCATTGATTTAAATGGAATGTTAAAGTACCTTACTAATACTGTCTTACTGTCAGTATCTCAGATTATGCCCTTCCCCCCACCAATACTCCTTTTCTGTAGTTTTTAGGTGCTTCTATGTTAAATGCAATAAAGTTTCCAAGGGTTATATTTTCTTGTTGATTGATCACTTTATCATTATGAAATGTCATTCTTTGTCTCTTGTTATAAGTTTTGTGGTAAAATCTATTTTGTCTGATGTAAGTATTACTGGACCAGCTTTTCTTTCATCTCCAGTTGCATAAAATATCCTTTTCCATCTTTTTACTTTTAGGTAGCGTGTGTTTCTTTCAATCTCAAGTGGGTCTCTTGTAGGCAGCATATGTATGTTTTGTTAAAAATCCATTTAACCATCCTATGTCTTTTATTGGAACATTAAAAACATTTACCTTTAAAGTAATTATTGATAGGAATGTCGTTATTACCATTTTGTTATTCATTATTTTTTTAAAGAAGTCCTTTTACTTTTCTTGTAAAACTGGTTTAATGGCACTTGACATCTTTAGCCTTTACTTGTCTGGGAAAGTCTTTATCTGTGTTTTTTTAAAAAATTGTGAATTATAATGTCACTGGGTAGCGTAATCTTGGTTGTAGGTCCTTTCTTATCATTACTAGGAATATTCCATGCCGGCCCTAACCAGTGTGGCTACGTTGGTTGGACATTGTCCTGCACACGGAAAAGTTTGCCAGTTTGAGTCCTTGTCAGGGTACATACCGATGTTGCTGGATCCATTCCTGGTCGGGATGGGTGTGGGAGGCAACCAATTCATGTTTTTCTCCCCCATTGATGTCTCTCTCTCTCTCTCTCTCTCTCTCTCTCTCTCCTCTCGCTCTCTCCTCTCTCGCTCTCTTTCTCTTATCAATAAAAATATTCCAGGCCAAATCCTTCTGCCCTGCAAAGTTCCCATTAAGAATTCAGCTGACACTTTTATGGGATTTCCCTTGTATGTAACCAGCTGGTTTTCTCTTACTGCCTCTGAGATGGTCTTTGTCTTTGATCTTTGGCAATTTAAATATGATGTGTCTTAAAATAGGCCTTTGGTTCATCTTGTTTGGGACTGTCTGTACTTCCTGGACTTGTGTCTATTTTCTTTTGCCAGATTATGGAAATTTTGAGTAATTATTTTTTCAAAAAGGTTCCAATTCTTTGCTTTCTTTCTTCTCTTCTGTTATCCCTATGACACGAATGTTGTTATGCCTCTTAACAACAGAGCTCCCTTAACCTATTTTCACTTTTCAAAAATTGATTTTGGAGAGAAAAAGAAAACATTGATTTGTTATTTCACTCATCTATGCATTCATTGATTGCCTCTTGCATGTGTCATGACTGGGAATCTCACCTGCAACCTTGGGGTGGCGGTACAACTCTAACTAGCTGAGCTTGATGAGGGCTGTATGCACATTTTTCTAATAAAGGAACGCATTTCCTGTTTTATTAAAATATTATATTGCCCTAGTTGGTTTGGCTCAGTGGATAGAACATCAGCCTGCAGACTGAATAGTCCCGGGTTCGATTCTGGTCAAGGACACATGCATGGGTTTTGGGCTCAATCCCTCGTGGGGGGCGTGCTGGAGGCAGCTGTTCAAAGATTCTCTCTCAGCATTGATATTTCTATCTCTCTCCCTCTCCCTTCATCTCTGAAATCAATAAAAATATATTAAAAAGAATATTTTATTAACTTGTACTAAGACATATAATGCTAAGTGTTATTGTGTTTTCACATATGAAGAGGATATACAAAATATTCCCTTCTAATATGACCTTTCAGATAAACATTGTTGCTACCTTTATTTAATTATACATTTTGAATCATTATTATCATTATTATTCAATATCTTTTTCTTCAACCAAATTTTATTTTTTATCATTTTTCTAGATGATTTTTTTTGAATCATATATGAGCGTCTATTCCAATGTTGCCGGCAGTATGGGAGAGCAGCAGGTCATCTACAAAAATCTGCTCTGCAGCCCCTCATAAGATAGCTGCTTATGTAGGGTAAGACATAGATTATTCAGGGAAATATGGATTATATGTAAGGTTTGGGGAAGCAGGGATTACAGGCATGGGGAAGTAGGCTGGGGTGGAACTCCATTGTTTGGGCAACAAGGTTGTTAATCTTTCCATGGGAATGGACCGCATTCCAAGGTTGACTCCCAGGTCCCAGGGGCATGCAACTCCCAGCCAGGTCAGCATGACCTTTCTTGAACCAATACAAGGCAATCCTGATTAACAGAGCATTAGTAATATTTCTTTTTCTTTTTTTTTTTTAAATATATTTTATTGATTTTTTACAGAGAGGAAGGGAGAGGGATAGAGAGTTAGAAACATCAATGAGAGAGAAACATCGATCAGCTGCCTCCTGCACATCTCCTACTGGGGATATGCCCGCAACCCAGGTACATGCCCCTGACCGGAATCGAACCTGGGACCCCTCAGTCCACAGGCCGACGCTCTATCCACTGAGCCAAACCGGTTTCGGCAGTAATATTTCCCATAAGCATAGCTAGTCCCCAATGTTCTATTCTTGCCCCTAACATTTCCCCACTGCTATTTCTATCATCTCATACCTATGAGGTTAGTTTTAGATGAAAAGTCTCATCCTGCTGGATTGCATCTGCTTCTGCTTGAAAGCAGTTCCCAGGGATGGAATACACCAAATGCAGGATCTTGGATGTGTTTTCTATCAACTGAGAACTGTCAGAAACATTCCTTTACAGCCCTCATAACCCTGGTTATGCTGCAAGTAATCTCTTGCTGCCCGATTTTCTAGAACTGCCTCCCTGACCTGGCTCAGCTCTGGATTTCTCCCAGGTATAGCCCTGGAGGTGGCATTCACGGCTTTTACCGTGCTACAAGCCAGTCGGGTCACTTGTACATTGAGGGAGCCTACCATGACCGGCATAACAAAATGGTCAAAGCAATGTATGCAGCAGGTTCTAGATGATTTTGAGGGCAAATTAATTAAAGCTGGGGACAGTGAAACAAGGAAGGGACTAAGATAGAAGCAGCAGGAAAGAGCCTGGGCAGGGCTGCGTTGGCTCACTGGAAAGTCAGACAAAAGGGGCCCTTGGCACAGGATCAGGGGGTGAGCCTTGGATGACCAGCCACTGCCCATGGCTCCCCTGGTTGCAAGTCTCATGGGAACCTTAGAATTTAGGAGATGCTTGCGTGCGGGGGAAGAACAGGAGGGAGTGAAAGGCAGACGCATGCACCTGGAAGGAGGAGGGCACTACCACATCTTTATTTACTCACCCTGCTGTTTCCATATCTTGGTGATTGTAAATAATGCTGCAGTGAACATGGGGGTGCATATATCTTCTCAAGACAGGGTTTTCTTTTCTTTTTGTCAAATAAATACACAGAAGTGGAATTGTTGAATCTTATGGTATCTCCATTTAAAAATTTTTAACAATAACATCCATACTTTTTTTCATCATGGCTTCATCAATTTACATTCGCACCAACAGTGCACAAGAATTCTGTTATCTCTACATTCTCACCCACATTTGTTATTTCATGGTTGTGGATCTTTATTAAACTTTTAATAATGTTTGGCACTTTTCAGAGTCTTTATTTTCTACTTTTATTAAAATTACTCCCATTTGTTCCATTTGATTCTATCACAAATAGCTTTCTTTAATTAATTTCGTTATCAGATTGTTTTCATTGCAGTGTATAGAAACAGTTTATTTTTATATACTGATCTTGTATCATACCAATTTGGTGTACTAAATCATTAGTTCTAATAGCTATTTTTAGTGGGCCCCTTAGAGTTTTCTGTATAAAAGATAAGTCATAGCAAATGAAGGTAGTTTTACTACTTTCCATTCAATCTGGATACATTTTATTTCTTTTATTGTCTATACTAGAGGCCCAGTGCATGAAAATATGTGCACGGGTGAGGTCCCTAGGCCTAATGGGCAATCAGAGCTGATCAGGGCCAGGCCAGTCGGGGCCTAAAGGCCCTGGCGGGGTCAGGAGAGGCGGTGACTGTCTCTGGGATGGGAGGGAAGGAACAGAAGGCAGACACTGATGCTGCCCTGGGTGCCCTGCCACCCTGCAGTTCCCCACCTACGCCCCTCCTCCTTCCCTTAGTGATGTGCAACCACCAGGGCCTGCTGGCCAGGGAGGGCCAGGGGGAAGGCCCAGGGGCGGTTTCGATCCCCAGTTTGGAACATGCAGGAGGCAGACAATCAATGATTCTCTATCATCATTGATGTTTCTATCTCTATTTCCCTCTCCGAAATCAATCAAATATATATTTTTAAAATGTAAGGTTTTTAGAGGAAGAAAGGTAGGGCAAGGGAGCTATTGACAGGGGCGCATTTGAGATCTTGCTCACATTTCAGATAAGATAACATATGATGGTCCTCAGGGGGTGACAGGTGAGGATTGGCAGTGGGTGGAGCAGGGCACGGTGGGCTGAGGAATGCGCTGTAATGACTGGGAATGTCTGTGGCAGTGACACCGAGTGTGTGTTGGGGCCATCGCTGGGATCATTCATCCCCAAGAGGTTTGAATTCCAGACGGGAGGAGAAACATGGAGATCAGTGGGCCTTTCTTAGCCTAGAACAGTGGTTGGCAAACTGTGGCTCACGGGCCACATGCGGCTCTTTGGCCCCTTGAGGCAGCCCCTACCTGGACTTTTCCAGACAAGTCTGATTCCCGGGGTATTTTGCTAGAATCTCTATGTTTAGTCATTTAGACCCGACCTTGTAGAAGCAAGTGCTTTCTCAAGGATGCTTACCTTGCTGATTGTATCTAGAGGTTAATTTTAGCTCAAGCTGTTATGACAATAAAGGCCAAAGGAAGCAGGTGAATGGGGCTACCTGGCGGCCATGGCCAAGTAGTGCCTTAGCCCTCTCTTTCACAGAAATGTGTGTCAGAGCAATCATTCATCCATCACTCACGGGCTGCTGGACAACCACGCCAAAGTGGTCCTCCCATGAGGAGCCAGGAATACAACGAAATATGACGGAACCTACGAAAACTAAGCTAAGAAAATGAACATGACTGCGCAGTAAGTCATTGGAGCCCGCTTGGGATTTCCAAGTTTGAGGGAATTTTCAGCTAAGGAATTCACGATCTCTGTTATGATTCTTAAGAATGTCAATATGTTTTCTATTAGAAAAATAAACCTATTTCTAAAAGTAAGAAAAAAAGTTTTTTCCTGTATTTGCCTAGGAAGCAAAGGTTTTATATATATTATTAAAATAATTATCTTATGGCAATCAGAAACTTTATTACTTTAATACTGTTTAATAATAATAATAATAATAATAATAATAGTAATACTCCTATGTAATAAAGAGCTAATATGCAAATGGTTATCACGCCATCACACCGTCACAATCCATCACCAAGAGGCTATCCGCACAACAGGCACATGTGGTGGGTGGGGCTGCGTGCATGTGGAACTGTGGAGGCGGGTCCCGGAGGCTACGGCTCTGCAAGGTGAGACTGGGGGTCCCCATGAGGCCATGCCCCTCACCCCAGTGGGCCTTAACCGATGTGGGGCTGGCCAAGTCTTGGTGTCACTCAATGGGAGTGGGGCCAGCCAGACACTTCTATTATATAGAAATGGCAAATAGCAATATTAAAATATTTCCTCTAATTAATTCCCTTTTAATGTGGATGAATTTCGTGCTCCGGGCCACCAGTTATATATAATGTATTTGACTACCTTCCCAGTGTTTGAAGTTTAAGAATTACTTTCTCTCCATAAATGAGTTTCGTATTTAAGGTATATGGAAAATTCTGTCAAATAAGGAAATAATAATTATATTCTATTTACATTTGCATATTAAGTAGATTCTAAATATACTTTCATTTGTAACTAATTGTTATAAGTTATAAAGTTATAACTAGACTTAATATAGTAAATAAATGAGTCTTTAATAAAAACGAGAGTAATTTTAGGGCAAAAAATTATTTCAACAGGAAATTATTAGAAACTGTTCTAACTTTTGTCCAATAATCCTAAATTTTATAACACAGTGTGTCTCCACCAGATTACAAGCCCTACTTTAAACCTAGGGAATACCACCTCTAGGCACCATTGCCACCTCATTCTGTGCCCAGGTCTCATCGTCCCTCTGGCAGAGAGCAAGGATCTCTTGGCTCTGAGAAAGACCTTCAACCTGCCTCAGTAGGAAGTAATTACAGAAGAAATCCGGCTTCTCCTTTCCCTAAAAGAATTCCCTAAAAGATCCTTGAGGGGGATATAGTAGGCAGTTAGACAGACATGAGCTGAGCAAAGACAATAGGCCAACTAGAGAAGAGATAGACTCTGAGACATACTTCTCACCACTCCAACTGCTCTGAAGCTAGGAATAGAGGAACCTGTGTAGAACTAACCTTTAATCATAACTAATTAGAAGGAATTTATAGTTTTCATGTAATAAAAGGTATAAAGACAAAGGGAAAAGAATGTGAAGTAGACAAACTGAAAGGGTATGTGTAAGTTACAGAAAGTAAGTGTAAGTTACAAAATGTATGTATAAGTTACAAAAAATATCTATCTATCTATCTATCTATCTATCTATCTATCTATCTATCTATCTATCTATCTAGAGCTAGGGGCTGTCACATCCGAATCAACTGAATGGACGACCAAACAGGCTGAGTGGGGCGACAAGACTGGCAGGGAGGGTTAGTGAGGGATGAACAAATGACTGAGCAGCAGGCTGCGTGGAGTGACTAGGCTGGCAGGTGGGTTAGTGAGGGACGACCAAACGTTGAACGGTAGGCTACCAGTGGGGCAACCAGGCCAGCTGGGGGGGCAGTGAGGGGTGACCAAATGACTGAACATCAGGCTGCATGGGGTGACCAGGCTGGCAAGGAGGGCAGTGAGGAGCAACCAGGCCAGCAGTGGGGGAAAGTTGGAGGCGACCAGGCCAGTGAGGGGCAACCAGGTCGGGGGGGGGGGGGAGCAACTGGGGGCAACCACGTCAGCAGGGGGGCACTTAGGGGCAACCATGCTGGCAGTGGGGGTAGTGAGGGGTGACCAGGGTGGCTGCAGGGGGAGGAAGTTGAGGGCAATCAGGCCGGCAGGGGGGCAGTTGATGGTGACTAGGCCAGCCGGGGATGAGCAGTTGGGGGCAACTAGGCAGGCAGGGGTGGCAGTTGGGGGCAACCAAGTCAGCAGGGGGGGCAGTGAGGGTGACCAGGCTGGGAGAGGGGGGCTGTTGGGGGCAACCAGGCCAGCAGGGGGGCAGTAAGGGGTGACCATGCTTGCGGGGGTGGCAGTTAGGGGTGACAAGGCCAGAGAGGGGGCAGTTGGGAGAGACCAAGTTTGCAGGGGGGCAGTTGGGGGTGAACAGGCCGCCAGGGGGGGCAGTTAGGGGCCATCATGTCGGCAGGCAGAGGCGGATAGGGGTGATCTGGTTGGTGGGGGGCGCAGTTAGGGGCGATCAAGCATGAAGGCAGGTGAGCAGTTAGAAACCAGCGGTCCTGGATTGTGAGAAGGATGTCCGACTGCCGATCCCCAGGATCAGACCTAAACTGGCAGTTGGACATCCCCTGAGGGGTCCCAGATTGGAGAGAGTGTAGGCTGGGCTGAGGGGACCCCTCTCCCATGCATGAATTTCGTGCACCGGGCCTCTAGTATCCTATATAATAAAAGCTTAATATGCAAATACACCGAACAGTGGAACGATGGGTTGCTATGATGCACACTGATCACCAGGGGTCAGACAACACAGGAGCTGCCCCCAGCCCGCAGGCCCCAGGCAAGCCAAGGTGGGTGCCAGTGGGGGTCCCCTGATTGCCCTGCTGGTCGCCTTGCAGACGGAGGCAACCGCTGGTGGCAGTGGGGGGCAGGGCTGGCAAGCGGGTGGTGCTAGGCTGGCCAAGGCAGGTGCCAGCAGGGGCCCCTCCAATCGCCCTGCCAGTCGCCCCACAGATCGGCCCTGATCGCCAGCCAGGACTAGGTACCCTACCCCTGCACAAATTTTGTGCCCTGGGCCTCTAGTATAAATTATAAAAGGTATGTATAAGTTACAAAGCGTCTATAGAAGTAAAAAATAAATAAAGTTGAGGAAGTAAAAATTGTGGGAAGGGATATAAAGAAAGAAATATCACAGGAAAAAAGGAAATTAGAGTAGGAATACTTTGTGAAAGTTATAAGAATGTTTATAAAGGTCATAGAATGTTTATAAAAAAATCTTAAAAGGAATTAGAAATATACTAAATAATAAATCTAATAGACAGAGCACCTGAATTCATCTGAAAAGTAATCATATTCTTTTAAATCTTAGAACACATGTATGTGAGTAAGGGATTAAGTTTTTCTTAAAGTTTTCTTTTCAAGGCCTGTATGAAGTAATTAGGGAAGTAACTCAGCTGTGAATCCAGCAAGCAGAACGGATAAGCATGGTCAGACCGACCCACCAGGAGTCAACATCATCTCATCAACATCACATCATTGCCTAACAATAGCTGATGCCTACAGATGCCAGGCCTGCAGGTAGCTACATTCCTCACCCTAGCCCTTTCCCCTTTATAATCCTGTCCCCTACACCTTGCTAGATGTCAAGATTTAATGCTTGTAAGCACCCTGTCTTCTTAATTACACTAACCATTGCTGTCATTGTAATTCCCTTTTATTTTCTTATAGTCTAAAAATCAGAACTCGAGCAGTGAACTTGCCTCACAAACCCTGACCTTCCAAAGCAGAAAGTTCACTGCCTCCCTCTGTCTTGTACAGCCAACAAAAGAAAAAGGGGGAGCTGTGGGGGAGCATAGGACTTGGTTGAAATGTCTAAAGGAGGATTCTCTGAAGGATGGGGGGGTCTCTGAGGGAACCTTGCTGAAGGTGGCAGCCCCTACCTTGCCTTTTCCAAACAAGTCCGATTTTCCAGGGTGTTTTGCTAGAATCACTATGTTTAGTCATTTAGACCCTTCCTTGTAGAAGCATATACTTTCTCAAGGATGCTTGCCTTGCTGATTGTATCTATACCAGGGGTCCTCAAGCTTTTTAAACAGGGGGCCAGTTCACTGTCCCTCAGACCGTTGGAGGGCCGGACTATAGTTTAAAAATAACTATGAACAAATTCCTATGCACACTGCACATATCTTATTTTGAAGTAAAAAAACAAAACGGGAACAAATACAATATTTGTATTTGCATGTGTCCCACAGGCCGTAGTTTGAGGACCCCTGATCTAGAGGTTAATTTTAGTTCAAGTTGTTATGACAATAAAATTCAAAGGAGGCAGGCAAAGGGGGCTACTTGGCAGCAATAGCCAAGTAGTGCCTTAGCCCTCTCTTTCACAGAAATGTGTGTCAGAGTAATCATTCATCTGTCACTTAGGGTCTGCTTGGTCAGCCTCGGCATTTAGACAGTCATATACTATAAAAGTGTTTGCGTCGTAAAGTGTCTTGATTATTATGTTAGCATTCCTGTTCCTATTCTCATTGTCATTGTTGTCATTATCTTATAAACACTAAAACAGTTGCCCAAACAGTGTTTTTCAGTGGTTAGACATCAGCCCTAGCACCAAGAGATTGCTGGTTTGATTTCTGTCAGGGCACATGCCGGGTCCCCAGTGCAGGAGGCAGCCTACCTATGTTTCTTTTTCATTGATGTTTATATCTCTCACTCCCTCGCCTTTCTGTTCTGAAAAAAAGGAAAATATGTATATACTAGTATATATACATATAGACATACATTTATATCATTTTTTAAATATATTTTATTGATTTTTTACAGAGAGGAAGGTAGAAGGATAGACAGCTAGAAACATTGATGAGAGAGAAACATCGATCAGCTGCCTCCTGCACACCCCCAACTGGGGATGTGCCCGTAACCAAGGTACATGCCCTTGACCAGAATCGAACCTGGGACCTTTCAGTCTGCAGGCCGACGCTCTATCCACTGAGCTAAACCGGTTAGGGACATTGATATCATTTTTAAAACGTAAATTGAAACTGGCCTGTAAAATAACTATGAAGTAATGCTTTTAATATAATTCTGGATGACTGTTTTGATTTCATCTATTGGTGGTTATTTTTCCTCCTCTGAAATCTTCAAAATACATGCTGTGGTTAGGATGTATTGCCTTCTCAACTAGATAGAAAAATGTCATCTATTCTACCACTACTATATGTCTATATTCAAACATCATGTCTATATTTCAGTCAGACCACAAGGAGAAACCATTTTTAAGTACAAACAAATATCTGTTCTTCTGCCATTTAAAGGTACTTCATGCTTCTGCCACAAAAAGGATCCATTGCTTCCTTATTTTCGCTCAGATATAAGAGATGCTGGAGTGCAACTTGGGAGTTCTCCAGTGAACACTGAAACTGGCCCCCAAACATGAAGAAAAAGGAAAGACCAAAGAAAGAGACAGACCAGTCCAGATTTTTAAGTGGCAGTTCTAATACGCAAAGGAACTTGCATACCAGGGTGGTCTTGGGTGGCCATTAGAGCAGTAGACCTCCACACTGCCCACCAGAATCTTCAAAGTTTACCTAGAAGCCTTCACTGGGTCACCGGGTCAGATGGGGTCAGCAGCATTGTCCTCTCAAACCTCCGTCCTTGAAATGGCTTTAGGGAGGATGCGACTGGGGAAGCTCGTGGAGGCTGTTCTCCCGCGGTGAGGGTGAAGGTGCAGACGCGGCCTGCGATGTTGGCGCTGTGCCCACGGGAGTTAATCATGTAACGCAATGCCTGTTAGTGCCCAGAACCGAGCACCCGGCACCGTCTGCAGAGATTTGGGCAGTCCAGCAGGAGCTCTTCCACAGAAACTTTCCGTCTGCCAAAGCAAGTAAAGGTCGACCGGCAGTCGTTTGTTTGAGGACCCGCTTTGGGCGGAAACCTGGCTTCTCTGGGTCTGATAAGGAGCCTGGGTTGCCCACCTGGAAAACGTAGATAGCCTGAATGTGCGGCCCCGCCAAGTGCGGTTATGACCTTCTACAAACCCACGACAGCATGTTTATTAGGGGGACCGCCAAACATGGAAACACAGTAAATCACCCCATTCTGCAGGCAAGGTCTTTTATTGTGTTTTTGCTATAAAATTGCATTAAAAGGAAATAAACAAACAAATAAACAAACAAATAAATAAATAAAATGGCTTTAGTTTTCCATCAGTGGGCAGAAAATATATCCCAAGGACAGGGGTGGAAGTGCCAGAGGCCAATTCCAGCATGTCATAATTTCAATAGTTTCATTAAAAGGTTGGAGAAACCAAGATGGCGGCATAGGTTAACGCCGGAGATTGCTGCCTCGAACAACCACTTCAAAAAACAACTAAAAGACGGAACGGACATCATCCAGAACCACAGGAAGGATGGCTGAGTGGAAATTCTACAACTAGGAGGAAAGAGAATATCATACCCAGACTCAGAGGAGGCGCAGTGCTGAAGTGAAATACTAAGGTGCGGAGTGCACGGCCCGTTTGAAATGAATAAAACTAAAAAAAAAAAAAAAAGACCGTACCCTTTTATGTAATGATGTTTACTTTGAATTTATATTAGTTCACACAAACACTCCATCCATGCTTTTGTTCCGGCCCTCCGGTCCAGTTTAAGAACCCAATGTGGCCCTCGAGTCAAAAAGTTTGCCCATCCCTGGAAGGCATTTCCCCAAACCTGAATAGGATACATTAAATAGATTGTGGCTGCCAGACAGCTAAAAGGCATCTTAATCTGTTATTGCCTCCTACTGGCCAAACACCTGAATAGTCGTAGGCTAATTCCCCCATTCTGACAATGGACTCTGTACCAAACCCTGACCCTTTGAAGTGTATAGCTCTGCCACACTAGATAGAAAAATGTCATCTATTCTACCACTACTATATGTCTATATTCAAACATCATGTCTATATTTCATTTCATTTTTCTATATTTTATTTCTATATTTCATGTCTGTATTTCATTTCTCAGTGCCTGAGGACAAACTGTGTTAATAAAAAGCATGGGGTCTTGGGGATGGGGAGAACCTAAGACCTTAGACTTAACATCCTGGATCTTAGCTCCTTTAGTTAAGCTCCTCTGACCCGCAATGCCTTTCAAAATTATATCTCATCTTTGGACTCATTATTAGTCTCTGGATTCCTATTTAACATCTATGCACAGCCTTCTTCAGATTCCTGAACCCTTCTTCATGCTGGGACAAGAACCCCGGCAAGGAAGGAATCTGATTGTCCAGTTATAGCTCATTGGTTAATCAGCAGTTGCATCTTCGCAGTGATCCTCCCACAGAGCAGCTGCTTGAACCTTGTGTGACTCTTTCCATTAGAGCCATATGCCAAGGCTACGGGGAAAATCTCTCTATACATACAAGGAACTCCTTGTGCCTTTTCAGTGGGGCTCTTTGGCTGAAAAGACCATCTTGTAGGGTGAGTCTTGAGACCTCATGGTTTCCATGGTGCAGGTGGATGCAGCAGCACTAAGTCTATTCTGGCCCTTGTGGAGACTACAGGAACCACCCACTCTTACCCCCAAATGTATCACAATGGATTTCATGTAACCCACTTGGAACCTTTCTTCTGATTGTAATATATAAAACTAGAGGACTGATGCATGAAATTTGTGCAAGAGTAGACCTTCCTTCCTAAGCTGCCGGTACTGGCTTCACTCTGGCACCTGGGACGCCCAGCTTCTCTCTGGATGCTGACAGGCACCCGGGACCTTAGCTTCACTCACAGCCCTGGCTTCGTTCAGAAGGACATCTGGTCTAATTAGCATATTATGCTTTTATTATTATAGATAAGGTACAAAACTGTCATTCCCTGGAACAATATCTCAATCCATTGACATTTTGCTTCCTGACAATAAACTCACAAAAATTCTTGTGAGGTTTGAATGATTCTTACATTGACAGATGGAACCCAGTTTTCTGATGAATCTCATTATTGCTGGATTAAACAGTGTAACTGTGGTGGCAACAGGAATGGCACCAGGTGTCTGACTAGGTTCAGACTAAACATCGGTTCAGCAGCCTGGGTACTTGGGTTCTGGCTAGGAAAGAACCCAGAGCAAGACCCAAAGTATAAGAGAACATTTATTGTGTAAATTAAGGAGGTAAGAGAAGTAATTCTAAGAGGAAATGGGTTTAGGAAAGGAGCTAAGGAGGTAAAGGAAAGCCCCCTTGAAGCTTGGGAGTACAAGCTAATGGTAACCTGCCTGGGGGAGGAGGAGAAGAGGGGGGAGGGAAAGGTACAGGTGTGCTCCAGGGAGGGAGAGCGCACTGGGTCCTCCTTTCTAAAGGTTTTAAGGGTGGAGATTTCAGGGAAGGTCCCAGGGGAAGAGCTGAATGGAATATTCTGTAGCTTTCCAGGTGTGTCCATTCAGGGATGTGGCCTCCACTGATGGACAGGCCGGCACCAGGCCAGGGGTCATTATTCAGTGCAGCTGGTCCTGATGTCAGCACTGGCATTTTGCTGCTTATCTGGGCCTGGAGCTAGAGGAGGAAAAGTCACCCTGGGGACAAGCCCCCACCCTACAATTGGTTGCCCATTGCTGGACACCTGGGCTTCCCACCCTGGTGACCTCTGTGCCTGGCCCATCTCCTTGCTCTGGGTAGGTCTGTGGAACTGCCCACAAGACAACCACAAGTAAGGGGTGGCTCATGGCCTCAGAGGAGCGTGACTGAATCACCTGTGGGAACACATGTTTTCATGTGAAAAACGTTTTCTAAAGTTAACCATTCTAAGTGCACAGAAGTCACTTTTCGTGCTGGAAATGATGGCTTGTTTCTGGTTTCAATGCTGTTTTTGGGAATCTGACTGTGGTTCTGGAAGGATACCACCCTAAGGCATCCCTGGTCCCTGAGCCTGTGCACCTTTTTGGAAAATTCACACGTCAGACATCAGCTGTCAACAAAGATGAAAATGGAGCCAGATTCCTTAGGTGCCTTTTCAGTGTGTGTGTTTGCAAGGAAGGACCACTGTTCCCTGGGACGCTCAGCGCTGCCTCTCAGTGCAAAGGTTCCCTGGACAGGAGATCTGGCTGCTTTGGGCTCAGGCCTGTGCACCTCAGGCGCTAGGGGCAGGTGGTGCGAAGCATCTGTCAGCAGAGCTGAGCGCCAGGTGGGCGGGGCTGCGGTACGGAGTGGGGGCGGGTCTAGGTGGGTGGGGCTACGCTCTGCTACTACCCGGAAGTTCAGTCAGATCGCATCTCTCATCTGCGATCTGTCAGGTGGTGGGAGCTGCAGGCGGGACTCGGGAGGCCCAGGAACCAGAAATGGTGAGTGTGCGGCCGGGCGCGGGGACGGGGAGGAGGCGCGGGTGGAGCCGCCGTGGCGGGACCGTCTCTCCACGGTCAGGTCCGGAGCCTGCGGACCCGAGGCGCCGGGGGCTCCGCTGAAACTGCAGGCCCCTCGGGCTCGCAGGGTGGGGCCCAGCCGGCACCCGGGCGGCCAGTGTGTCCCCGCGGCAGGGCCTTGGGCTGCGGAGCGCGTCTGGGCAGCTCTGCACCCTCATCCCCGCGGCTCCGCAGTCGGTGCGGTGACCACGGGGAGGGCCATTGGGGACAATGGGGACTCGGCCCCCGCGGTTCGTGCATGGGAGGAGCTGTGGTCTGTGGGGCCCCCTGTCCCTCCTTTCTCCCCAGAAGGACCCCGTTTTCTCCGGGGTTTTGATGTTTGTGGAGCAGGCTCCCAAGTCCACCCCCTGTCCCCCAGGCCTAGCTCTGCAACAAGTGCCTGCACTTCCAGTCTCTCCCCGGAATCCTAACCGCCATCTTCCCTTCTCTGAGTCACAGCATGTTTATCGGCTATTTGTTTTGCGGTGCTTTTCAAACGGTTAAAAACAAACTTCAACTGAACAAATTGAAAGGATTAATTGGCTTGATTCCCCTTTCAGGAATCAGGCAGCATCCCATCTAGTAAATACAATCTGAGCTGCTGTTCAAAATGGAAGGCTTCTACTATTTTTTTTTTAATTAAATCTTTATTGTTCAGATTATTACAGTTCCTCTTCCTCCCCCTTCCCCCCCCCCCATAGCTCCCCTCCACCCGGTTTCCACCCCACCCTCAGCCCTTACCCCCCAACACACTGTCCTCATCCATAGGTGCACGATTTTTGTCCAGTCTCTTCCCGCACCCCCACACCCTCCCCCCCCAGAATAGTCAGTCCATTCCCTTTCTATGTCCCTGATTCTATTATAATCACCAGTTCATTCTGTTCATCAGATTATTTATTCACTTGATTTTTAGATTCACTTGTTGATAGATGTGTATTTGTTGTTCATAATTTGTATCTTTACCTTTTTCTTCTTCTTCCTCTTCTTAAAGGATACCTTTCAGCATTTCATATAATGCTGGTTTGGTGGTGATGAACTCCTTTAGCTTTTTCTTATCTGTGAAGCTCTTCATCTGACCTTCAGTTCTGAATGATAGCTTGGCTGGATAAAGTAATCTTGGTTGTAGGTTCTTGGTATTCATCACTCTGAATATTTCTTGCCACTCCCTTCTGGCCTGCATAGTTTCTGTTGAGAAATCAGATTACAGTCATATGGGTACACCCTTGAAGGTAACTGACCTTTATTCTCTTGCTGCTTTTAAGATTCTCTCTTTGTCTTTTGCTCTTGACATTTTAATGATGATGTGTCTTGGTGTGGACCTCTTTGGATTCCTTTTGTTTGGGGTTCTCTGTGCATCCTGGACTTGTAAGTCTATTTCTTTCACCAGGTAGGGGAAGTTTTCTGTCATTATTTCTTCAAATAGGTTTTCAATATGTTGCTCTCTCTCATCTTCTGGCACCCCTATAATTCTGATGTTGGTACGCTTGAAGCTGTCCCAGAGGCTCCTTACACTATCTTCGTATTTTCGGATTCTTTTTTCATTTTGCTTTTCCGGTTGGGTGTTTTTTGCTTCTTCGCATTTCAAATCTTTGCCTTGATTCTTGCGCTCCTCTGGTCTGCTGTTGGGAGTCTGAGTATTTCACTTCAGCACTGCGCCTCCTCTGAGTCTGGGTATGATATTCTCTTTCCTCCTAGTTGTAGAATATCCACTCAGCCAGCCTTCCTGTGGTTCTGGATGATGTCCGTTCCGTCTTTTAGGTGTATTTTGATTTGGTTGTTCAAGGCAGCAATCTCCGGCGTTAACCTATGCCGCCATCTTGGTTCCCAGGCCCCCCTTTTTTGTTTTACCAGCATACCCTTCAGGTTACCTTGGGCACGTTCAGTGGTGGCCTGTCCTTGTGGATGTAAGGGATTCCCGTGGAATGCTGGATGGACAAAGTTCTGCAAAAGGTGGTGAAGCCAAGGCTGCTATAAGCAGGCCCATTATCAGTTTATCTTGATATAGCTACATTGGAAACAGGTCTTATTGAATTCATGCAAAGAACTGTATTGCTATTTATTAAGAATTGCCAAATACTGGAGGGACAGGTAAGAGAGAAATATATAATTTACCAAATTGCTTTTAAAATGCTTTCTTATATCTGAAACACAAAAAAGTTTAAGAATCAGTAATACTTGCAAATGACATGGAATCTTGTCCTTTCTGCAAGACACAATATTCTTGAATAACAGAGCTATAAATGAAAGCATAATATAGTTATTATTTGACAAAGCTTCCCGTGTTCTTTAAGGAGAAAATTTTCCTTCATGAGAGAGAAAACAAATACTCGAGGCATTCCAGAGCCAATTGGAGTGATCTAAAGCCAATTCTAGGTAAAGAAAAAGTTTCTTAAAATTCAAACTCTGGAAGGATTGTCAAATTTATTTTCCAAAAGTTCATGTATTGAAGTGTATTAGGTACAAACATGGGCTAGGAAACTTCAGTTTCCATGATTAAAAGATGGCTTTTAAGAAAATTCCTGCTTAATACAACATATAACCATTTTAATAATTTATAGAACTTTTGCTTCCTGGGTAAAAAACAGGAAAGATCTTTTCCCCTTTAACAGACTAGAAAAGGACTACCCAAAAAAGGATTTATTCTCTAACTTCATTCGTCCTTGGGTGTGGTCAGCAAATGACACTAATTGGATTTCTGCTACCTGTTTCCCGGAGTACATTGATATAAGCTGTTTACCATCTGGATATACCCTCTGGTTAGGGAGTCAAAATGCAAATCATTTACTCTTAAGTGTCCTTGGTTTAGGGAAGATAGAATTTACGAGATGGCTCCAAATTGCTGTTTAGCCATCTCAGTTTCCTATTCCACCTGTCGTGCTTACTGGCTTGTGTCATTTATACAATTTCCTTTTCACATTTCTCTTCACAAAATTCCACAACTTCCACAAACTTTCTACAACTTTCACAAATATTTCCTCAGACACCTTACAAATTTCAGAAATAACCAACTTTAGATTCCATTTTCTTTTTCCTTCAAAATGTATCTCCATGCCTCATGCCTTCCATTACACAAAGCCATATTTACTTTCCAATTAGTTAGAATGCTTCACCCTTAAAAATCTTCTTTAGGTAGCATGTAAGTAATTAACATTCCTCAGATTGGCAGTACATTCACATTTTAAGAGCTGTTTCAAAGAAAATACAAGACTTATTAACAAATTCAAATCCATCCTCTAGATTCTCCACATGAGGCAAATTCAGATTAATATTTCAGTATCCTGTTATTTCAAAATATCTAGATATTTAATAATTTTTTACAATTTAATTCAGCAAACTCCAAAGTTTTAAGTTTCCAAAGACTTTGGAAAACTGTGTTTAGGCAAATATAATTACCACTGAAAAAGCTTTATCATATACCTTTAATTATATTTATTTTGCCTTATCAACTTTTGAGATTTTAAAGCCAATTATTATTACTGAAGGCATTTCTTGGTAAATTTTTAATAGCGATAACTCGTTGGCCTTTAGTGGCTTTAATGATATTATTATTTTTTTTTTACAAAAATGGGAGTGGCCTCCCCCTCAACCCCTACCCCCACTGGGCTATTTCTGCAGCCTACTGGAATCCTCCTAGGAAAAAGACTTGGGGAGGTTAAAAAAAAAAAAAGACTTGGGGAGGTTTGAATGATTATTTCTCATATTTTTTTTCTTCTGAGTAGTCTAACAACCTGAAATCTTACATATAAGAAGAGAGCTTAGAAACAGAAAAAATCCTACAGTAAATAAATGGGTACTCATAAAAGGGTGGACTGGGACATTAGCCTTAGAATCTTCTCTCACACTGACCCAGCACAGCAAATGGGTTCTGAGTAGCATAAACCCAAACAACAGAGACAGAGGATTTATTACTGAACTCTCTGTTCCGTTCCACTGACTTATATGCTGTTTTTATGCCAGGACCATACTGTTTTGATTACTATGGCTTTGTAGTACAGTTGGATATTAGGTAGTGTTATTCATCCACATTTGTTCTTCTTTCTCAAGATTGCTGTTGCTGTTCAGGGAGTTTTGTGGTCCCATATAAAATTTTTGTATATTTTTTCTAGTTATGTGAAATACACCATTGGTATCTTCAAAGGAGTTGCATTGAATCTATAGATTGCTTTGGATAATAAGAACATTTTTTTTTATCTTTAATTTCTTTATTGGTTAAGGTATTACAAATGTGTCCTCATCCCCCCATTAACCCCCAACTCCCCCACCCCCACTCATGCTCTCATCCCCCTGTTGTCCGTGTCCATTGGTTTGGCTTATATGCATGTATACAAGTCCTTTAGTTGATCTCTTCCCCTTACCCCGATCCTCCTTCTTTTTTACAGCAGCATAGTATTCCATTGTGTAGATGTACCACAGTTTTTTAATCCACTCATCTGCTGATGGGCACTTAGCCTGTTTCCAAATCTTAGCTATGGTGAATTGAGCTGCTATGAACATAGGGATGCATATATCCTTTCTGATTGGTGTTTCTGGCTTCTTGGGATATATTCCTAGAAGTGAGATCACTGGGTCGAATGGGAGTTCCATTTTTAGTTTTTTGAGGAAACTCTATACTGTTTTCCACAGTGGTTGCACCAGTCTGCATTCCCACCAGCAGTGCAGAAGGGTTCCTTTTTCTCCACATCTTCTCCAACACTTGTTGTTTGTTGATTTGTTGATGATAGCCATTCTGGCGGGTGTGAGATAATACTGCATTATCATTTTGATTTGCATCTCTCGTATAATTAGTGACTTTGAGCATGTTTTCATATCTTTCGGCCTTCTGTATGTCCTCTTTCGAAAACTGTCTATCTAGGTCCATTGCCCATTTTTTGATTGGATTGGTTATCTTCCTATTGTTAAGTTGCATGAGTTCCCTGTAAATGTTGGAGATTAAGCCCTTATTG